AGATGTTCAGCCTCTCACAGTGTTCATCTTGGGAGGTTTGAGAGGTACCAAAGTGGTGCATGGGATGATTCGAAGCTTGCCTTGATATGGCGTTGAAAAAGGGAAGACGATAAAGTTAGTGTATGTAACAAACACATTGGCTTATTGCTTTTGTATTTATAGTTCCGTTTTAAATTTGATTTTATAATCTTATTATGATTTCTAACTTTATATTCTCGTTCATTAGATGAATCTTTAATATTATTATACTGTTTTAAAATGAAAATTGGGGTATTGGGGTATCATACAACTAACGAGGTTGAGTTAACTCTTTGTGATTATCTTCAGTATTTTTCGTTCAGGAATATTAGAATTTTATTTCTAATCCTTTAGATCTTAGGATTTGTGATACTTTATAGTAAGTTGGGTGAGGAAGGTTTAATTATTTGTATCGTTTTTTAAATTTTCGGGCATGATGTCGTGGTTTTAACTTGGACAAAAAAGTTTCAATATTGGAAACCCCAATGTTATATTGCTGATTGTTCGGTATTGAAATGCATTGTAATTGGCTACTTTTACCAGTACTGAAGAAACTGAGAAGGATTTTTTCTAAAACCGTGCTGCAGACCATTATTGCTGCAAAGGGGGCTCAAACTTGCATCATGGGATGTGGTATCTATGCGACCAATATACCCAATCCCATCACTGATTATACATCGTAAGTTTGTATGGTAGACCATATTGTAAAAATATATTTGCACTTTTTAATAATTTTAACCAAAGTAATGATATTAATTAAATCTTACAAACTAAACATTATTTAATTAAATCTTACGTTGCTAAATTGTTTATGTTATTAACCATTTCATCAAGTGTACAATAATGAATTTGCTTAACATTTTTTATGAATATGGCAGAGGTCACAACCGTGCATTACCATTAAGTCCGAGAAATCCGCTTGTTGGCGGGTTATCTGCCCTTGTAATACTTATAATACAGTGTCAAATACATATTTTGGCGGCCAATTTTAATTTTAGCAGCCATATTGATAGATTATCTTCATTCTGACATGTTTAATAGCTGAGTAATATGTAAAATAAATTTATGCTATATTAGTTATCATGCTGTAAGGGAAATGACTACATCTGAAAACTATAATATTCTGAATATTTTAAATGATGACCATCTGTAATGTTTGTGGCCATATTGGATTATTACGGCCATCATTGATGATTGCGGCCATATTGGATTCTCATAACCCGGATTCATGTCTTAAATGAAAAATACCTATTAAGCAACAACAGTGCTAGATTTCATGCCTTTTTCGGCTTTAAATGTACAGATTTCTTCAGTCTTACAGTAGGTTAAAGCTGAAATTAATTGTAACATACATGTAACGGTATCGATTTATCATACAGATTAAGATATTTACAAAAAACGTGGAAATAAAGAATCTTTTTTTTTGAAAAAAAAAAAAATCATTTTAAAGGAGCCTTTCTTTATTTATTCTGTACCAAAAAAACTCCCCCTTTCCACGAATTCTAAAGTTCGGTTCCCACGTTTTTGGAGTAAAGGTATATTCATTTAGCTGTTAAATAAGTAAAAATACTATATTATTTCAATGCGATGTACCAATACCTGCTAAATAGGAAAGCGGAAAACTAAAGGGTTTGAAGGGAACCATGCTAAACTTGGATCTGGTGAATGAATTTCATGATACGAAACTTCTTTAATTAAAATTTTTCATTACATTTCCCAGGATTAAGTATATGTATAACACATGGGATAATCGGGACCAAAGCCCAAACGAGTATCTGAATTCGCCAATGCGGGAATACAAGGTATTAATAAATTGTCAGACGATAGCAAGTAAATGGTAGCCAATAACAATTTCGTTTCATAAGTCATATTTTTTAAGAATATCAATCATTTAAAACGCATTCATGCGTTCAATGCAATTTCATATAAAGAACATATCTCTATTACAAATCAACATATTTTATTGCACGATTTATTCCAATTCTTGGAAGATAATTCTCATCTAAGGAGGTCACATACACGGTTTATACAAAGGATACTGTTAAACTTATTTGAAACACAATTTCAGGTATTTTCTGTACTATTCCAAAAACACCCTTTGAGTCAAAGAGTGAGCATAGTACTATAATGACTAAATAATAACGGTTATACTGTTGTTTTGTTTGACAAAAGTGACCTGAGACTGATTAATCTTCGGAAGGTTGTTCGTTAATTTCCGTTATTCTTTTGGGTTTTAATGATAGTATAGTTTTCGATATCAAAGCCTAGTGGCGCAGTACAGAGTAATTGTAATCGCATATTTGCAAGTTCGGATCTTTTACAAACCCTTTATTGTAGATTCCTTTTAATTGATTATTTCTTTTTTAAAGCATATGCAACGTAAAATTGATAAATCCTTTGTTAAATTTCTAGCATTTACTTTTTTAACTTTGTCATAATTTGATATTTTTTATTTCATGAATTTCAGTATGTTAAATTCGTAAAATGAGTGATGCACAAAAAAATAGTGGTCAAGTTTTGCAAAATGTAATAAAGAAATTGTTGAAGAAAAAAAAACCACAACATTTTATGATTCGAACCTACAACTTTAAATTTGACACTGAAAGGAAGACAAGTATTATATTTGAAAAATTTAGTTATACATATACCGTTGGAATCTTTATTTTTATACTTCGGAATCCGGTAATTACCGTCAAAAGGTCATTGAATATTCAAATGTTTCCGGTCAATATTGTCAAACAATACACACTTGATCCAAAAACTGAGTCCTTGTAGTTTGAGGGATTTAACCGATTAATCACATCTTCTTGTTGTCTAAAATGTACAAAGAGGTTTAACACTTAAAGAAATGGATCATCATGTTGTCTTGAGTAAACATAAGATAAACATTGTTATATAGTAACAGTGATACTAATAAATATTGTGAGAGTAAATATGTGATATTGTCCTGTGTTATGTTGTGCGTGATTAGCCTGTGTGTATACACATATATGTCAATAAACTGCTAACATAAGAGTGTTATATATTGCAGGTTGTTTCTCTCCATTAGCCACACATTTGTATTTTGATCACCCCCAAGAAACCAGATCCGGAGGAAAGAGGTCTACAATGGGCGACAAGATTTACTGAACACTGAAAAAGTCTTTGGTTTTGATGCCAGATGATATATATGCCAATTTTAACGTAGATCGATTTGGAAATAAAGTTGATTTGAACGAAATATGTGAAAATAAAGATTGTCCCACTGTGGACGAAACTGAAAATATTCTTGGTAAGTATTAAAAGTCGGTTGTAAATTCGTATCTTCATCACTTTGGTCAAAGAAAACACTAATCTTTTTTAATGATGTGAAAATAAATAAAACTCGCGCATCATTTTGTAATGACGCCAATGTCAATGAAAACACTCGTTTTTGTTTGTACTGATGGTAAGCTACAAACAAACATACTTTTTGTGCCCCCACTTTAGTGGCGGGCATTTAGATTTACCCTTGTCCGTCCGTCCGTCCTTCCGTCCGTCCGCACTGTCTGTCCGTCCGTCTTTCCGTCCGTCCGTTCTCTTTCGTGTCGCACGTAACTCAAAAGGTATTTGACCTAGAGTCTCATGAAACTTTACAGGAATGTTGATCAGCATGTGTAGTTGTGCACCTGGGTATTTTCGTCTAGATATTTTATAGTATTTTTAGAGTTATTGCCCTTGACTTAGTAAAATTTTGCAATTTTCAACTTGTGTCGCATGTAACTCAAAAAGTGTTTGAACCTAGAGTCATAAAACTTTACAGGAATGTTGATCAGCATGTGTAGTTGTGCACCTGGGTATTTTCGTCTGGATCTATTTATTATTTTTAGAGAAGTTGCCCTTGACTTAGTAAAATTTTGCAATTTTCAACTTGTGTCGCATGTAACTCAAAAAGGATTTGACATAGAGTCATGAAACTTTACAAGAATGTTGATCAGCATGTGTAGTTGTGCACCTGGGTATTTTCGTCTGGATTTATTTAGTATTTTTAGAGTTATTGCCCTTGACTTAAAAAATATTGCAATTTTCAACTTGTGTCGCATGTAACTCAAAAAGTGTTTGACCTAGAGTCATGAAACTTTACAGGAATGTTGATCAGCATGTGTAGTTGTGCACCTGGGTATTTTCGTCTGGATCTATTTATTATTTTTAGAGAAGTTGCCCTTGACTTAGTAAAATTTTGCAATTTTCAACTTGTGTCGCATGTAACTCAAAAAGGATTTGACATAGAGTCATGAAACTTTACAAGAATGTTGATCAGCATGTGAAGTTGGGCACCTGGGTATTTTCGTCTGGATTTATTTAGTATTTTTAGAGTTATTGTCCTTGACTTAGAAAATTTTGCAATTTTCAAATTGTGTCGCATGTAACTCAAAAAGGATTTGACATAAAGTCATTTACCCTTAAGGGAAGGTTGCTCAGCATATCTATTTTTTGCACCTTGGGGTTTCGCTTGTGGATTTATCCAGTATTGTAGAGTTATTTCCCTTGACTTAGTAAAAACCGTTTCATTATGTTGTTATTTGTTCCTTGAGTGCTTGAGTTAGAATCAACCAACTTTACAAGAATAATGATCAACATCACTAAATTACAGGAATAATGATTCACATCATTGTGAAGCTATGCATCTGGGACTTTGCATGTGGATTTTTTTTCAGTTTTGTTAGAGTTATTGCCTTTGGCTTACAGTAGTATAAATTTGCAATTTTCAACATTTTCATGCATAGCTCAAAAAGTATTTCACTTGTAGGCCTGAAAGTTTACAAGAATGTTGTTCAGCATGTGTACTTATGCACCTTGGGTTTGCTTGTGGATTTATTCAGTATTTGTAAAGTTCTTGCCCTTTACCTAGTAAAAGATTTTTAGTTTTCAAAAAATATTTGACCTAGAGACATAAGATTGACAGAACAGTGGCGCGGTGGGGGCACCCGTGTCCTACGGACACATTTCTAGTTTGATACTAGTATTGCATCAGCATCAAATTAATAACGAATGTAAACATTTGGAACATGGTTAAATCCAATAACAAAATAAAAGGAAGGTAGAAATAAACGATTATTCTCAACCAATCCATCATGACTAAAGTTGTATCTGTGGATACAAACACATACTTAGAATTTGCATTTTTCATCTAAACTAAATAGGATATAATTTTAATTGGTCTGAAAATTTTACTTCAATTTAAATAGGGTTACAAGCCTGTATGTTCTCAGAAACAATGCGAACTGAGGAACAATTTCATGGCATGGCTTTCCCAAGATTACTCGCACTTGCTGAAAGAGCTTGGCACAAGGCATCATGGGAAAAACAAAACTGACGTTGATGACAGAAATGTTGAACGTGATCAAGATTGGAAAAAATGTTCTCGGATAATCTCGGATACAAAGAGCTTTCTCGTCTGGACAAATATTCTACATTTTATAGAATACCACCACCAGCGGGGCGAGGTTAGTTTAACATATCTTGTGATAATTGCACGCAATGTAGAAGTACGTAGGATGACAAATGAGAATTCATTATCTTTGATAACCGAAAACATGCAGTTCTCTCTTGATAGTTTAAAAGTTATCTTTTCTTGCTAGAATTATAATCATACTTAAAATATTATTCTGTTTTATTTCTTTTTAGGATTTACGATGGAACTCTGAAAGTAAATACGAAATATGCAAATCTTCTTGTTGAAGTCAGCAAAGATAATGGCAAAACGTGGAATGTTTACAAGGAAGCTAAAATAGACCCTGGGACAAAGGTTCTTTTGCGCTCAAGGTAAAAAAGATACTGTATATGAGATATATACGAGCATCGTGAAACTGAAAGCCTATCTTAATAACTTTCCTATGTTAATTTGAGGTACAAAGAGCATTGTAGGAGCACATTTGTCTCGGAGCACATTTGTCTTACGTAAGACCGATGCGGTCGCATTTGTCCCACATGAGACAAATGGGACCTCAAATGTCTACCCCAAAAAACTCATTTGTGTGACAAATGTGCTCCGATCAAGTTTTTTAAGGGACAAGAAAGCACATTTGTCTCATGTGTTTTTAAGGGACAAGAAAGCACATTTGTCTCATGTCATTTTTTATGAATTATTTGTCACATATTTCCCCACGGCAGAAATTCTTTTTTAGAATCGAGGTTCGCCGTTTTACCTCAAGTGTAATCATCAATAGGTTTGCTTAATATGCTTTCTTTATGAAAACCTACAGTGAACTATTAATTATAATATCTCTAATTCAAGAAATTGATTGACTTACACTGAAACATACTAAATCCCATTCACGAAGGTACAATGGTGACAGCGCGATGGCACGATGGTACGTTGTTGAAAACGCGATGGTGAAAACACAATGGTACGAACGTGAAACAACGATTGTACGATGATGAAACAACGATTGTACGATGATGAAACAACGAAGGCTCGATGATGAAAACGTGATGGTACTATGATGAAAGACGATGTTACGATGGTGAAAATACGATGGTACGATATGATGAAACTGCGATGGCATGATGATGAAAACGCGATATTATTTTCTCTATCGTGTCATCGCATCATCCGTGATTTCACCATCGTGCCATCGTGTTTTATTCATCGTACCATCTCAATTTCACTTTTGTACCATTGTGCATAGCTGTTCAGGGAGACAAAAATGTTACTTATGTCCAAACGGAACACCATAATCGGTTGATATTGAATGACTCGTTTCGCATTTCGCCGAATCTCGCGAAAATCTCGCGTCTCGCTTCGCATCCCGTTCGTCGACGCGAGACCAGGTCATATACCGCTAAGTAGTATTCACTTTATAGTCTACATAAATCACTTAAAGGCCCATTATGCCTGAGAAATGCTTTTATTTTATTCCTCTTTGGTATACTTTTTTAGCTCCAAAACGTTACTCATTGCTAATTATCTGAAGCATATTTCATCTGCTGCTTTTTTGCAGTTTGTACAGTTGAAGAGATTTAGAATTTTGTATTGAAGTCAAAGTACTTATTTGTTTACATTTTGCTACTTTTATGACGCATTATTTCACATTTTTCGCGATTTTTTTTTTTGGTTACAAGCATCTAACTTCCTCAGAAATCATCATTTGAATATTCATACTTGTCCTATCTAAAGAAGTAAAAATTTATTAATTTCTGAAATCTCTTGGTACGGAATACTTCGACATTGCGAGATCTCCTGTTACAATATCGTGCCTCGCTTCGTGTCTCATTGGAATGTCGGGTCTCGCTACATTCTGAGTGGCCCGATATTCCATAATTATGGCATAACCCGGATTATTTTAGGAACTCATGCATGTTGTAAGTGCCTTTTCAATGGCGAATCTGAAAGCCGCAATTCTTGGAAAATGACGACTTTTTATACATATATTTCTGATGAAAACGAAATACGTGTGTAATGGTCTTCTTATTTTTTCCATGGATCATTTAAGGGCCTCCGTGGCCGAGTGATTTCGAAAAACCACTTGCCCCTAACCGCTGTAGGTTTGACACATAAACGGGGCGTCGAACTATTCATGCGAGGATCCAGGTCAGGGTCCAAATGCCATAAATAATCTAAAAAATCTTTAAGCATTGAAAATAGACGTATCTCAATTGATAACGATAAGATTAGATTTGCTGCATATATGTTTAGGTTCTGGATGCTGCACTTGTAGAAATTTTCATTGTGAGATGCAGAACAGGGATATTTTTTAATTTAATATATGACTCCTATGCAGAGGCAGGAAGTTTTTGACTAACCGGAAGTGACTCAAAAACGGTATTATAAATACAAAAAACACAGAACAATGGCTGGTAGCCGGTATACAGATGGACATAATTTTACCTTTTAAGATTTTTATGGAAAAAATGTGAGACAAATGTGCTTCGAGTGTCCTTTCTATTGTGTGTCGAACACATCTGTCTCATTTCCAATTAGTCGCAAATATGAATGTTTACGAACACATCGGTCTTACTTCGTAAGACAAATGTGTTCCGAGACAAATGTGCTCCTATAGAGCATCGTTTTCATACTTGCTGCAAGATAAGTCTGTTCATAATTGGCAGTAATGAAGTTAGTGGTACAACATATAATAGTACATGACTATAAATGAGTATTTAACAAAAACATCATATCAAAAGAGCTGTTAAGGCTTTGATATCTAATGTCCATATAGTACATAAATATGTTTTGTACCAAGAAGATTTGTTCAGGTTTGTTTGTTTTGTATGGTTTTACGGCTTAGGTCATATAGCGCCAAAAGGTTTTCTTCGAATGTTAAAAACTTAAAGCAACACCGGGATTCAAAACCATTATCACCTGGTAGAGCTAAGAGATACATAAACTCTAGTAATTCGAATTTTACGATCACGCCGGGAGAAACGGTGGCTGTCTGAAACCTTAAAAGCAACTCCCCAGTCACAAGGAGCGTTTGTGTAGGTACACAATGCAATGGTGTAATATCGATCTATGTCAAAATGATGAGCAATGAACATTGTCATAATTGCATACTAGTTAGTATTTCATTTTATTTTCAGGTCAAAGACTTCTGACATTACCAGCAGACATATTGAAGTATCTACACCAACTGTTTCCGGTGCTGCTCAATTATGCCAACATCTAAGTCTGATTGTGTTGGTCTTGTACACCTTATCTCATCTCTTGACAAAGTGATCTATGTTTATAAAATGTTAAATGTTGTTTGTTATGAAAGTCGGAATTTCAGAATATATGTGTGTATACTCGAAGAATGTAACATGTAACTGAAAACTTCTCACAGTGATAAAACATCGTGTTTGAGCTTCAGGTCGTCAAATACCATGGCAAGACCATTGTGACAACTTCATTTTCATAATCGTGCATTGTTTGTTCGAATTTTTTTTATGTATTTGTCGTTATATATCCCCTGTACTTTTTATATCATACATGTATATGTACATGTCCTATATCATATATGTCAGCACACGCATTTGAAAAAAGTTACGCTTACATTACAATTCACATCTTTTATATTACTTCTATATATGTCATATGATTGTACAGTTTTATTCATGTGTTTAACTTTGTTACAATGATAGTTTTCTGATTCATTTTTAAAGGATTTTTATTGACTCTTTTGAGCTGGTAGACTTTCAGGAATGCTGTAGTGGTGTAATAGCGGACGGATCTTGTGACAATCAAAATAGTGCCAGCCTTATTTCCTTTTATGAAATTGTCTGAAGTGTAGTGTGCAAAACAGAATCACCATATTTTAGCTGTTGCTTGCATGACGGAATAAAACTTTTATTCCTTTTGGGTTTTTTGTTACTATATTTAAGATGTTTAAATTGTAACATTTACTTGTTGAATATGTTGTTCACATTAAACTGAGAAAAAAAACAACAGCAACAAAACGAAACAGTGTCATAGAGTCTACCAGCCACATGTTTTAGTTGTTAGGGTTATTGTCGCCACGGGTACTACTTGTAGTCCCACACGGAAATCTTTTAATATATTAGATAGTAGTTAGTATCCACTCATGTAAACAAGTATTCATTTGAATCTGAAAATACTGAATGGCTGCGCGAAAATTTGACAACAATTTCGGTAAAGCGACCCTTGCACGGGGGATGAACTGTTACATAGGGGATGGAGTTCTTATGATAACTGTCAGGAGTTCGTCGGAAGACCTTTGTATATGCTACAAGAACACTCGTCAAAAATGGAAATTTTCATCTTTAAAAAAGTGAGTTTTATGTGCTAAATTAAACTGTAATGATTAATCCTGCCTTATATCTTCTATTATGTGTCAAAGACTAATTCATATTCCTTTTTTCATCGCCTCCTGTTTAAAATCTGGTGGTTTTGAGTAAAATGTTCAAATTATTTGCCAATTCGCACATATTGGCCTGTTTCTTTCTTGCCATTCACAATTACCTAATTATAATGCAAAATTGCGAGCATAAAGCCAAACATATGCCCGAGTTTTTTTTAAATGTCCTGGAGTTCTTGTGATAACTCTGAAGATGTCTTAAAGTTCTTTTGATAACTGTTGTAACTACCAGTGTATTTCTTGTGCTAAGTCACGACACGTTTTTTAATTATTCAATAAGGTTGTAAATTATTATGAAACGTAGTACGCTCATCCTTTGCACAAAACATGTTGATCTAATTTGGTCTTAAGTGTCTGCAAAGAATAAACATGTGATCATCTACAGTAAAATTGAATCAGCGGTCACCGATATTCAGCGGTATCATGGCTTTGTAACACCGCACTTTGGGGTCCAACGCACTTTGGGGTCCGACCCCAAAGTGCGTTAAACTTCGCATCGCACTTTGGGGTCCAACACACTTTGAGGTCAAAATCCAGAAATTGACCCCAAAGTGCGTTAATATGCTACATATCAACGCACTTTGGGTTCCAGAGGTCTAAAGGTGTCATCTGAGTTCTGCTTCAATACTGAATACTGACTTATTTCCGATCTGCGACCTTGAAATATTTGAGGTGGAGTTCAAGATGGCGGTCGATCGATACTTTGTTTGATGCTTAAGTGATACAAGTTTAATTAAATTTACCACTTGAAATATCTAAAAATTGTATTCATATAACAAAGTACTCTAGTACATAAATTGTGGATGTATTCCTAAAATTAAAAGATGCCGCGAAAAATATCCCGTTCTGTCAGTCATTTACTTGATAACTTTTGGTGCCATATTGAGCCCCATTTTAAATATGATTGGGATGAAATAAAATGCATTCAATTTTTTCCTAAAGAACTATAAATATACCCTATTGCAATATTCTGGTGAAATATCAAGTTATTCGATGGGACTATAAATAGTGATTTTTACAAATACATTTTTAAGCTTATCAACAAACTTTAGCTTTTTTGTAAGCTCCGTAACAACCGTTCGCCAGAGGCTTTTTTTGTAAGCTCCGCAACAACCGTTCGCCAAAGGCTTTTTAATTCGAAATCTTACATACTTCTTAAGAAAGGGCAACATGGATTTTATAATGTTTGAATAATGATATCAGAGAAATATAAGATGCTTGTTACCTGAATAAGGCAGCGATAAATGTGAAATAATTTGTCATAAAAGTAGCAAATTGTAAACAATGTAGTATTTGACTTCCATATAAAATACTTACTCACTATAACTGTACTCATTGCCAAAAAGCAATAGATGAAAAGGATGGCTCAGGCCAATTCAGATGGCCAATGAGTCTTTGGATACTATACAAGGACACAAAAATTAAAAAGCTTTTAAGAAATACAAATTAAAGCATAATGGGCCTTAAAAACGTTAATTTTATAATCTCGGCGGGGGAGGGGATGACACCCCACCATCCCCTCTGGACTCCCCCAGTGAGAACTTTACATTATTATGAATTTCCGCTGTTAATGTGTGACTATTTTAATAGTTTATGGTATTTTTGAGTACTGCACTACTTAAGGTCGCATTTAAACCTAGTCAATATTCTTAAATGTCACATTTAGATAAGCTAAAGAAATGGCCCTTTTAACATATTATCAGGCACAATTTTTTAAATGAAATTTTTTATTAAGATTTCCCAGAATTTATTCCTTTGTCTATGCTAAGACTATCAAATTTCTATTAAATGTGTGAATAAGAAAACGGGAAAATAATGCAATTAGCTTAAAAGAATGGAGTTAATGAAAGGTGTACCTTCTTTTAAAATAAATGGAAACTGTGAGAAAAAAATGTTGTTGTTTTTTTGCTTATTGATTGATACAAATTCTGTATTGCATGGAAGTTCTTCACTTACTGATCAAGATCTCTATTGGTCCTACTATAATTCAGGGCACATGTATTACGTCTATTTAATATCTTGAATTTTGTTTACTATTAGCTTTGACTACAATACATTATTTAAAGCATAATAAAAGTTCATTTTTATGACCCCAAAGTGCGGTCGTTCGTCTGATGTTAAAATAGCATATGTACCTGTTTAAGGCACTTTTGGGTCAAAATACACCAAAGTACGTTGCACCCCAAAGTACGGTGTAACATGGCTTAAACAGCAAAACAAAAATGTCTCAAAACTTACACTTCGTTCTCAGATACACATGTTTTAAGGAGCCACCTTTCTTAAGTAGACAATATATAGTTGTGCTTCCCTTATCTATGGGCTAAGTAATTTGTATCATGTTATACTCGCTAATAATAAACGAGTATATAACCAGGGTAAACTCCACACCTATGTCTCCAAAAAGTACGATACATAATAAAAACTCAACTGCGGTTGTCTCTAACATAATATCTCGTGGCCACTACATAGTATCTCGTAAACACTAGATAAATAAAAACGCATAATTTTCACCTCTGTACTACGTACTTTTTAAAGCTTGGAAAGATTTGTTTAATTGTTCAAATGTTGGGAAAGTAAGAAGTTTTGATTGGTTGATAACAACTTCGAACAATAGCAACATATCGGCTATTTCCGTCAGTCTTCGGATAAGCTTCAATAAGGAATAATCTGCGAGGTGTTCAGAAGTTAAAGGAGCAGCAAACTTTCGGTACATGGTTCACCCGGCCATATTATAATGCTTGGTGATATTGTAGCTAAAGTGTTTACAGTAACTTCTTTCCAAACATGAATAGGTAAAACACTATTCTCAATTTGTATTGTATTTTACCAAATTAAATGTGCTATAACGATCAGTATAATTTTTTTTCCATAAATTTAAACACATCTTTTCGGGTACAGCTCACGAACCTTGCCGAAAATACCTGTAAGATTCATATTCTGTGTTAATAAAGGACACAATGATGTGACAAAATTAAGCCTATCAGTCGTTAATACTTGTTTTCAATACTGTCAACACTGCAAGCTACTAATAAATTCTATAAAGCTAATGACACTAATTGATTTACAAAGTGGTTCAAACCGATTAAAGTAATAAGTGGGGGGTTTGTTCTCACTCCACAAAATATTTTTCATAATGGAAAACAGGTACTCGTGCAGGTAAGTCATGCTTCTCATTCATCTAGTAGATCTACAAGAACAATACCATGCTTACGCTTTTGTACTTCTAAGCGGAATTACAGGAATTACAAGTGGCGGATACTTATAATCTGGGTAGACATGGAATTCTGAATAAAATATAACGAATATAGAAATATTTGCATGATGAGGACTATTTTTATGAAACCCAAAAAGCACGTTAACTAACGGTTTGTCCCTATATCTCTTGTATTGTTATCAACATGTTTATTCAATATTTGGCACGTTTTTGACGTCATTTTATTACGTAAACATACAAAGAACGTTTGTACGTGTGAAAATATGACGTCATAAGCCCAAATGAAGCGCTTCTGTCTCGGGGTTAGGGCTATCAAAAGTTGGACTACTCAATTTCAGTAAGACATTATTTTTCAATTTTAAAAATTTCCGACCAGTTTTGTTTTCTTTTCCATCTTGCAAATTTAACTTTTTTATTCATTACAATTCTAAAATGTACATGCCTAATATGTAAATGAAATTGCAAATGATTTTAAACTGACCAACAAAGAACAATATAATCTACATTGAAATTCAAAATGAAAGACAAGTCAATGTTAGATACAATAATACCATGCCTTCTCGTTACAGAAACATATTGAGACAAGAGCCATGTTGACATGACCTCAACCCCACACCAAATGTATGTTAAATGTGTTTGCTTGTTGGAAAATATACACTATGTGTTAGCAAGCAGAATGAGTCATTTAAAAGAAATATAGTAATGAAAACTAGATTGAACTGAATTGATTAGAGATGTGTTCTACTTTCATTTTTTTCAAGTCTATATTTTGGATTCTTCTGTGGTTATGGTTTGGACAAAAAATACTTGATACTTAAAGAAATCTAAATCTTAAGATGACATGGCTTTGTTACTACAGGATCCATACCATCTACGTATAATTTCAGTTTGAAGTCAGTCAATGATCAAAAATGGATTTTTGAATTAAGTAAAGGAATATAATTACGCAACTTGACTATGGTTTAAGCTTATTTATTTAAGATCGATTGCGAATCAAGTTCTTACAACTTATATTAATCACTTTCGAGTCCGCTTCCTGGAACCAACCAGTACTGGTGCCATATGAAGAATCATGGTAAAGACCCGATTAGGGCTCGAACCCATGATCCCTGGGTTGAGAGGCAGACACTTTAACCACTAGGCCATCGTTCCCCTTTAACTTGACTATATAGATTTATAGTTTTTGCTAAGTGTACTTCTCTTATATGCCACCTATTCACATTTCAAGTCAATACCTTAGATAGGTTTCTATTGCTCTGGACAGAGC